CCCTCGCTCTCTCTCCTCTCTGAGAGGTGGCTGCTTCTGGGCTGGCGATTGACAACGCGGCGCGAAAAGCGGCAAACGCGTGTTCGTGAGCTGGTGGTCGATGATTCGCTTGGTTGCACTGCACGGCGGACCAGGCGGCTGGGTCCCCTTGACAATCGGCAGGATGCCATTCGGGGAGGTCGGACGTGGGTCAGGCGAGGGTGGGTGTTTGGGTTGGCGTCATTTTATTTATTCGCCGGCGGCCGGCAATTTTTGGTGGTTCGTTCGTTCATGCCGGCGCTACGGTGTGTTGTCGTTGTGGTGTTGAATGCTGCGGATTTCCCGGCCAGGGGTTGGTGGTTCTTTGGGTCGCTTGTTGGCCGCTTTTGCTTTTACCACCAACCACTCCGTCGGGAAACCCAGCGGGCTGGGACTGGGGACGCAGCTTCATGCAGCTGCTGATCATTTCATGGAAGCGAGTGGCTGATGGGCCAGTTTTTTTTTTTTTGGTTTTTTTTTCTGTCCGTGGCTCCCCAGCCTGCCTACCTGCCTGCCGCGCAGGACGAAGGGGTGCCTTGCCTGGGCGATCACTCAGTTTCCCTTGTCCATCCCTCCCGTGGCGGTGTTTACCGACAGCGTGGTCTCGGATCCCAACCCCTTCCCTCGACCCCCCTTGTTGCGACTCTCTTGCACAGTGGAACAGCGGGAACGGGCCAATCAGTCGTCAACCGACGATATCCCTGGGGCCAAGCATTCCTGCGAAAGAATGCATCGAAATTGCAATTGGGGGGGGGGCATTGGGACACATGCCGTGCCGTGGGACAAGTGTAATCGGGCCTTCCATTCAGGCGGGACTCATCTGAGATGGGGGGACTGTGAGAGGTGAGTTTTGTGCATGAGACCGGGCACGGAACCACTCCCTTGGGACGTGACAGCAAAGAGCCTTCCGTTTTCGCATTCAATCAACACCAATGCCTCCATCAAGCAACCAGCCCGGGCTCGTTGCGAAACCACCTTCCAAACCAAGCACCGAACCCCACGCGGCGGAAAGACAAGGGGGCCAAAGTCCCTCCCTCGCCGAGAATTCCAGACTGCCTGCTCTCTATCCATATCTTCCAAAACCCCCCACGATGTCATTTGCCTCCTCCGTTCACTCATAGGAGTACGGAATAGATACGGCGGTAATTTCCATCGAGCGGTGGCGTGCTCTCTTCCCGGTCTCCTCCCCCCCACGATCGGATCGGCGCTCAGCTCGAAACTAACTCAACCGAAGCGCAGATCTTCTCTGCCGGATATCCATTGCCGGATTGCCGCGATGGCCTGCTGGGTCTACTGTATCTGAATGTGAGCAGATTACAGATGTACCGTGTAAATGGATGCGCTTTTGAGATCCTTAATCAGGAGAACGACATCCGACCTAGATCAGATCCCGAGTGTTGTTCACATGTGTGGGCCTAGAGGTCAAGACGACACAACCACGCCCCAGCCAAACCCACGGTTCCACAACGTCCAACCTGCATCTTGTAATGTGCGCTCGTAAGCCCAGCAAACGGAACCATCCACTCACCGCCTCCTTTTTCCCCTTCTCCCAACCGAGGGTCCAAGCCCAAGCCCAAGCCCAAGCCCAAGCCCAACTCACCGACCCGATGGACTGGGCGGCCGGTGGAGACCCTTCCTTCCTGGGCCATGTGTCGGGTTGAACGCTGTAACCCGCGCTCAGCCGCATGTTTCGAGGACGGGTCCAATGACCGAGGCCAAGGCGTACCTGGCAAGGGTTGACCCTGTGAATGGGAAGGGAGAAAACGGAGGTGTGTTTTGTTTTGTGCTGACGTTTGAACCATACCTTACATGACATGTGTAAAACGAAACGGTTGATGCACAGACTGAGCTGGTACTGTGGTTACTACTGTGTTGGCGACGTTGATGTCTTGCTTCAGTATAATAACCACGGTCCGTCCATCTCCATGGAGACAACACCGCTGGGCGTGACCCCTTAGATAGAGGCTTGCCCAGCCGGAGACCGCACGGAGAAGCTCAAGATGATAACCCGTAAATTGTTCCCAGGCACCCCGGAGATACTAACTACATAACCATCTGCTTCCCAGCTGTGACATCAAACCAACCCAACTCGTGTTCGAGGCCAAGTCAGCGGGCATGAGAGAGCCTGCACCCAAGAAACACCAATTCCACACCACCGGGACCAGAGGACCCGTGTGCCTGCCCTTTCCCTGCTTTTTTCATGAACATCCTGCATAGAAAAACAAATCTCAAAACAATAGCAACACCCTGAACGCCCGCCTTAGCACCCCTCGTCATACCCCTCCTCCCCTTCCCACACCTCACCCTTTCCCATCTCGCGTTTTCAACTCTCCCGCCTTCACCTCCTTCACCCTCCCATCCTTCATCTTCCCACCCATCTCCTCCCCACCCATATCCCGCCCAGCCATCATCACCCTCGCCTCACCCGCATCAACTCCTAATTCTCCACCAACCCTTGCGGCACCCTAAACTCCACCCACACCGCCTCCCCAATCATCGCCCTCCTCCCCAGCTTGCGCCCCGCATACTGCCCGCCACCGCTATGCCCCCGATTGTTCAGATACGCGGGCGGCTCGTCCAGCGCGCCGCGCGCCACCCACGCCTGGTAGCGCGGCGGGTCGATGATGCCCATCAGGCGGTCGGTGACGTAGAAGCGGCCTTGGACGTCATGCTCGGCGACGCGGGCGGGGGCGGTCGATGGCGGGGAGGCGTGCGTCCACGCCCAGCGCATGGAGGGGTCTTTTTCGATGGCGTTGCGGGTCGCGAGTTCTTCCGCGAAGGCGGGGATGAGGGATTCCGGGGGGACGGTGCCCGGCGGAGGGGGGTGGGCGGCGGGGATGCGGATGGTGCGGTAGAGGGCGCCTTGGAAGTGGAGGGTTGCCGGGGCGGGGGGGTTGGAGGGGGCGGTGGGGGTGAGGACTTGGATCTCGTTGATGAGCATGACCGGGTTAGCGTCGGCGGGGAGGGCAGTGGCGGGATCGGTTCGCGGGATGGTCACGCGGATGGGGTCGCCGACGCGGACCATCTCGGCACCCAGGTAGACGCCGGCGTAGTGCTGGACGCGGAAGGCGCCGTCGGTGGTGGTTCCCTGGGCGAGCAGGTCAAAGGTGGAGAAGGCGTCGTTGATGGCGCGGGCGCCCATCTTGGAGGCCTCAAGCCCGAGGAACTGCCGGTTGTTCTCGCGCTGCGCCGGGTCGGGCTCCTGCGAGAGCCGCGCCGCCATAGCCAGCCAATTGACCCCCTCGAACGTCTTGTCCTTGAGCTCGTCCATGGTCGTGTTGGGGACGCTGAAGGTGAGGAAGGGTCGCATCGACAGGCAGTCCTTGACCAGGGCGGGCTGCTCGAGCAGGGCGTGGCCGAGCGGGACCAGGGTGAAGTGGTAGCTCGAGTCTGGCAAGCCCGGGGGTATGGCGATGTTTGGCTTCGGGGCGATGGTTAGGATCACGCCGAGGCGCCAAGCCGTGTGCTTGTACCAGACGAGCTCGCCCACTCGGAAGACATTGGTCCAACTGGTTGTTCCCGGGGGAGTTAGTTGTTGCTGTTGATACTGCTGCTGCGGTTGTTGCTGTTGCGGCTGCGTTTGCTGCTGCTGCTGCTGCTGCTGAGGAGGATACGGAGGCTTTTGCTGAGGAATTTGCTGGGGGGCTTGCAGAGGCTGTTGCAGAGGTTGCTTCACAGGATATTGTTGAAATTGTTGAGCCTGGCCTGGTTTGGCCACGGGGACGGGCGCCTGGTATGTCACGGCCGGTTTGGGGGCCGCAGAGGCAGCGGCCGCGGCTTCCAGCCTCACGCGTTCAAGATACTTGGGGCACAGGTCACAGGGGCACTGGCTGTTGTCGGTCGAGTCGCTGAGGAGCCAGAGTGCGTGTAGGGCAAACTCGCCCGGGGTGCGGTAGTTTGCCTTGACGCCAGCCGGGTGACCGTAGAGGTAGTAGTCGCGGCCACCATCCTTTCTCACGGCACAGCGCAGCTCGTAGCCCTTGGGGAAGCCTCCGAGCTTGTACTGTCGCTCTGGAGGGGGGAGGGCGCGGGGTGTCAGTGTCTCCAGGGCGGTATGACAGCATCACGGCTATCCGAGGGTAAGGGGAATAAGAGGAGGCGGGTTCCATCACTCACTGTCATCGCGGGGGCCGAGCTGGTTCTGTAGATGGCCGGCGACGATGACCTCCCAGCGCTCGAGCTGGGTGACATCCTGGTCCTCGGTGCTGCTGATCGGCCCGTGGTCTAGCCCCGTCCACCCCTGCCCATCACTGCGAGCAATGTATATCGGCCAGTAGTCGGTGCTGGCGTCGTTGGCCGCCGTCGCGCTGGCCATAGTCTCGGCTGAGACGACCGATGTCGTCGTCGACTGTAGACAACAAAGTCAAGGTGGTCACGTGAAAGTCGCGTGACTTGGAGCCAGGACTTGGGATTTGGGACAAAAACAGTTGGTTTCCAACCAGAGACGGCTGCTTTAATTCGTGTCCAGCCCCACAAAACGCAAGCTGGGGCAGTGAACCTGACGAAACTGACTGTTGATGCCTGACCGGAGGGCCTAGGTAGCCACCAAGGCCTACTCTAACAGATAGCCTAGGTAGTTGCATAAGCACTTTATAGATGAGTACGTAGTTTAAGGAATAGAGTTGAGAACACAATCCTACCGCAGACTTCCCCTCCCTCTGGGAACCCAAACTGCTGGCCAGCGCAACGGCCCACTTCTTGCCCCTTTTGGGAAGCCCAACCAGCGCGCAACTCTCACCTGCCGTTGGCCACTTGTCGCCTTGCCTCGTGATTTCAACTCTGGTTGACTCAACTCCATTGCTGCACCCATTTACAATTCTGCACACGGGGCGGCCTGGTGGTAAACAGCTGTTCCAATCAGCTCCTCCCTCGCTGAGCGCGAGGCTGCAGCCCATCTCCACTTGGCGGCAGTGCAACGCCGTGCCAGGCCCGCTTCCACAGAAAAATTCTGCATCCGACTCCAACCTCCACAACAAGCATCAGGCAAGGTGGCCGAGCGGTCCAAGGCGCCACGTTAAGGTATTCAACCCTTAATCACAGTCCGTGGTCTCGAAAGGGGCGCGAGTTCGAATCTCGCCCTTGTCAGCTTCTTTTTCGTTCTTCAGTCTTTGGCAGACTCGCTGTGGCATGGGCAATGGATGGCTTTTTGCGTGCCTGACTTGCAGTTGTGGACCATCGACGGACTGTGACTTGACGGACAGCAGACTGGCTTGACCTCACCCGCATCAAGGCCCTGACCTGGTCTGAAACACAAGCACGTGAGGGTATGAGTCGTGAAACCGCTCGCGCGCACACATGCACTCGCGCAGCACGCAATAGCAGGCTCCCGGACCCCCGAGACCTGTCTCGAGCGCTCGCTTCACCATCCGATTCTGCTGCTTCTGCTCGACCGTTGCCCGTCTCACAAGACTCACGTAGCGCGTGGTGTGCGCGCGGGGCCTCTGGGGTAAGGTATGCCTCTCGTCCAAACTCCCCTCTACCCGGAACCTCATATCCGTGCTTATGCGGTAAAAGCCTGCTGGCGGATCTCAACTTCTCCGGTCGGGACAAGAGAGAGAAAAAAACAGGCTGCTCGCCAAGAGACGCGGGAAAGAGGCAGGAATGAGGTCAGCCATGTATGAGGGTTGACACGGCCCCAGATGACGGCGCAGGTTTGCGGCAAGGGGGGCGATATTAACCGGTAGCCCGTCCAACAGATGCCATGTTGTTGGTGATGATAGAATGCGTGAATGGGGGCGAGGCGAGGGGGAGCCGAGTGTTGGGTATTGACTGCCCATAACTATACTGTGTACGAGGCGGCCTGCGCAAGTTCATCTCGCCGACAAGCTTCGAGGTGGGTGGGGTGGTCGAGTCAGTGGGAGGGGTTCTCCACGGTCGAGGAGCTTCCTCGTGATAATGCATTTGTCTCATCCAGTCAGGTCTGGGTAAAAAAAAACGCGTGCCACACGGGCAGAGGCAGCGAGGGAAAAAACAACGCGAGCTGGACAAGCCACAAGGAGCTGTCTCGCAGCCATCGCCACGCTGGCGCTCATGATGATGATGATGGCGCGGTTATTGAATCCACGGGGAAATTGGCGGCTGGAGTGTGCCGTGGACAAGCAACCCAAGCAGCTGCAACGTGGATCCGCTCGAACAAACAAGCAAACTCTTCCCTGGGCGACTTGCTGCTGGAGCTCGAACCGGGGAGCAAAGTAAGGGAGAAAAAAGAGACGCACACCCGTGGGCGGGCCGAGACCACATGCTTGGGTGGAGAGGCTCATTTCGCCAACGGTTAGGACTGCAACCGCCATTGGGCCAGAGCCAGCGTGCCCCTGCCAATGCGTGTCCACTGCCGAGATGACACGCCAGGAACCGTCGCGCCACGCCGTGTCTGATTGGGCGCCGCCGGGAGGCTGTCGAGATGGGCCTGGGGGTGGTGTTCATGGAGGGGGGCAGGGGGGAGGGCATGGGAGTCGGGCAGGGACAGGTACAGGAGGCACAGAGGGGAGAGATGGGGGAGACGGGGTGCGCCATCACGCAAGATGCTGCTGTTGGTCCCACACCCTCGCCCCCAGTCACGCCTCAGAAAAACTACGGAGTGATGACCCTGGGGGTCCCCTGGAGGCGTGGACATCCCCTCGTCCTCCCCCTGCTTGCTCCATCTCGTCCTTCGTTTTTCCTCCCCACCCCCCTGGCGCTCTGCTTCTCTTGCTGCTGGCTCTGGGCTCAGAACATCCTCTCTTTCTTGAACATCGTCGCTCGTTTCCGCGATTCGCGTGCTCGATCCATTCCCGGCCCCCCCTTTCCACTCCCTCGCCCTGGTCTGGTCTACCTATCCACAACGCGAAATTGCTCACTCAGGCTCGACGCTCTTTCTCTAACCCGGCCGACGACAACGACGACGCGCTCGACCACCGCAGGTTCTTGACTGAAGTCGCGCAACCAAGTGAAAGGGAAATCCGGAGCGGGAATTCGTCGTCAGGGGTCCGTCCGTCTGGGGATCGGATCCGTCTCTCGTTGCTGTGGTCCTTGGTCCTCCTCCAACAGACATCGCCATCACCATGAAGTTCACCACATTACAGGCCGCCATCGGCTCGGCCTCGCTTCTCTTCTCGGCCGCGCCCGTGGCCGCCAACCTGGGCCACCGACACGCGCACCAGCAGTACGCCAAGCGCCTTGCCCACAGGCACGAGCACGCCGCCGCCGAGGTCGTCAGCGCGCCCAAGGTCGAGGCGCGCAAGGCGCGCTGCCAGCTGCCTGACGACCCGGACCTGGTGCGCGTGCCCGGCGCCGACAACAACGGCTTCGCCATGAGCCCCGACGAGCCCTGCGTCGACGGCACCTGGTGCCCGCTCGCCTGCGTGTCGGGCAAGCTGATGGCACAGTGGAAGCCCAACACGACGTACACGTACCCGGAGTCGATGGTGGGTGGACATGCAGTTCATTTGTGTTGCGTGAGGTGGGGAGAGGCGCGATATTGACGAGTTGATCCTGCAGTACGGCGGTTTGTACTGCAACGGCGGCATGCCCGAGAAGCCCTTTGACGGCACCCCTTACTGCGTGGACGGCACCGGCGCCGTCAAGGCCGTCAACAAGGCCGGCAGCATCGTGTCCTTCTGCCAGACCGTCCTGCCCGGCAACGAGGCCATGATCATCCCGACCGACGTGACCGACACAGCAACCCTCGCCGTCCCGGGACCGGACTACTGGGCCGGCACTGCTGCACAGTAAGCAACCATCCCGCTCGAAGTAGAAGAAACGGAACACTGACCCATCCCCAGCTACTACGTTAACGCGCCCGGGATACCCGCCTCGCGCGGCTGCGTGTGGGGCAAGATTAGCGAGCCGATCGGCAACTGGAGCCCGTACGTCGCGGGCGCCAACACGATGGGCTCGGGCGAGACCTTCGTCAAGATCGCGTGGAACCCCGAGTTCGTCAACACGCCCGCGCTGGCCAAGACGACCCCGTCCTACGGCCTGCGCATTGAGTGCCCCGGTGGCGGCTGCAACGGTCTCCCCTGCGCCATCGACCCGTCCAAGGGCGGCGTCGGCGGCCTCGACAGCCCCGTGGCCACCTCGGGCGTCGGCGGCGCCGCTTTCTGCGTCGTCACCGTCCCCAAGGGCTCCTCCGCCAACATCGTCGTCTTCAACACCGACGGCTCCGTCGGCGAGCCCGACAAGGGCAAGGACAAGGACAAGGACAAGCCGGCCCCCTCCTCCAAGGCGCCCGAGCCCCCCAAGCCCACTACCACCGCCGAGAAACCGCCCTCCAGCGCGCCCGCGTCCTCGACCTCTGCCCTGTCGGTGACCACCGCCTCCCCGTCCTCCACCACGCGCAGCTCGTCCAGCACCACTTCCCAGCCGTTCTATGGCGGTGTCTTCCAGGAACAGGAGGCGCACGGCGACACGACATTTTCCTTCTCGGCGCCAGCGACGACGGCGAAGCCGTCTGCGACCAAGCAGGAGTCGGCCGCGCCGGTCGAGACGGCGAGCAAGAATGAGGGTGGCGCGGCGGCTGAGGGCGGGTCGGCGATTGCCGGGCTGGTGGTCGCATTGATTGCTGCTGCTGCGCTGTTTTAGGCCGGCGGTTGGTGATTGTTCACGACGCTGTTGGTTTTCGTTTGGGTGGGTTGAGGCTTTGTCGAGGTTGATACCGGCCTCCCTGAGAACTCGCAACTCACCCGCCCCCAACTTCTCCTTACCCCCCCTCCCCCCCTTTTTTTAGACAACACCATACATATCCCCCCACGCATTATTGTTTATTGGTATTGGGCCGCCGCCAGCCGTCTGGGATCTTTTTTTTACTTCCCCCCTCCCGTCGCGCGCTGCCCACTCTGGTCCCACCCCTTGGCGGGCCAGAAGAACACTCTATCTTCTTCTCGATCTTCGATTCTGCCAGCCGTTTTTGGTTTTTCTTTTGGTTTCTGCGGCTTCGCGATATACCCCTTTTGAGTTTGCAGTTTTAAGTGGTTTCGTTTCTGGATCCTTTGGGCCCGGTTGAGGTCATTTTGGTGTGGTTGTGGTTCGATTCATGGGTGGGTTTTTTGGTTGGGGATTTGGTTCTTGGAACGGTTTGGGTTGGTTGTGAAAAGAGACGTATATATTTTATCTATATTTTATGGATGGGATGATGGAGGGATGATGATGGCGGATGGTTTTGGTGGTTCGGATTCGGGGAGGGTATGGGCGGAAATTTTGTGTGCTTGTCTGCTCGGCGAGTCGCGCTCGCCAGCAGATGAGGCAAGCTAGTCAATGACAAAGATGATTGACGATAACATATTGGCGTTGGTTGTGTTTCTCTAAGCGTGTGTTTATGTAGGCGAAAGCGAAGGGAGGCCTCGATGCTTAAGGGCGCGAGGAATGACTGCAAGAGGGGACAATTCAAAAGGGCCGAAGTCGAAGCAAGGCATGTGCAACCGGCCTCCCTCTCCCATGCCACGACCGCAACACAGGGCGAACGACCCCAGCAAATCAATCTCCCAAGCCGACAGATGGGCATGTATTGTGCTACCCCCTGATTCAATCCCCCATCACACAAACCCCTCGGTCCTCGCACCCTAATGTCCAACCCTCCTCCCCTCCGCCTCCCCCCTTCCACCAACCCCTCAACCCGGATTCCTCACCCACCCCGGCACATCCTCCATCTCCCCCGGCGGCTCCGCCCCCTCGCCGGCCGCATCACACGCCTCCAGCGCCTCCTTATGCGCCTCCCTAAAGCGCTCCAGGACGCTGGCGTACGGATTCGGCCAGCCCGCCGCGGCTGCATTCCCACCCATCCTCTTGGCGCCCTCGACCGCGAACCGCCTCTGCTGGCGCGCCACAAACCCGTTCAGCAAGCCCGCGTAGACAAGGCCTGCCACCACCGACTCGATGCTCTCCGCGTCGGGCGGCTTGTTGCCGAAGAGGAGGCCCTCGGAGGGCATCAGGCGGCGGGGGCCGCCGGGGGGTGGGATGAGGGTGGACGACGTGGGGTGGGAGGTGGTGTTGTTGGTGACGGCTTTGAGGAAGAGGTTGTTGACCTGCGGGGGAGGGGGTTTTGCGCGTGGGGGCGCGGACGCGGATGCGCCGGCGGGGAGATAGCCCTCGAGGAGTTTCTGGACGTAGCC